CCATCAAGCCTTTACAGTCCTCTAACACGCCCCCTAACTCTGATAACAACACTGCATGTTGAGACCCGAGCCACTGTACGACAACCGCATAATCACACTCCACAATAATCTTCCTTAATGCCAGTTCGTATGCCCACTGCAACGCTCCACGCAGGCCATAGGCCTCCACCGCCTCGACTCGGAGAGTCCCTTGTCGTCGGCATGACATAGTTGCAATTACCTCCCCATTACAATCACGCACCACCGCTCCAACACCAAATTCCTTGGAGTGCTGGAACATAGCCCCATCCACATTCACCTTAAAATGTGATTCATCTTGTGGTTCCCACTTTATCTCCCCTCTCCTTGGTCCTCCTCGCGTCCCACATTTGTGTTTTACGGCTTCAGCGTACTTCTGCAGAAAATGAACTGCCATCTCGCAAACTTGCTGCGGTTGTTGCCTTTTACTCTCCCATAATATATCATTGCGATTGTTCCACAGAGACCAGCAGACTACCCCAAACAACTCAAGCTTACTCTGGTCAATAGTGAGAGCAACTGTGTCAAAAAATTCAACGAAACTATCCACCTGCAGATCCGCAGCACGAAGGTTTAACTGACTCCCCAACCATACAGCTCGTGCAAACTGGCAATCCTTCAGAACATGCACCCCTGTTTCAATCATCTCTCCACAAACTGGACAGTAGTTATCAATGTCCACCCGTCTCTTACGTAAGTTTTCCTTTGTTGGGAGTATATCCCTATAAGCACTCCAAAGGAAAACTTTAATCCTCTCCGGTAGCTCCAACCTCCGCAAAGTCTGTCCTCGAAACTCGCCTGTAGAGGAGGATGGTTGCTGAGGATCCTGATGAGATTGACATGCCACATGATATCTTGATTTCACCGAGTAACACCCCCCTCTTGTATGTTGCCAAACCCAATCATCCTCCAAACTTCTCCAGCTAATTGGGATGGACAAAACTAACTGTGCCTCATACTCTGAAAATAATTGATACACTAATTCCCTTCTCCAGCTATGAGTAACATCATCAATCAATTCTGAAACCCATTCCACCTCACACCCATTTGGTCTAAGGGTCACAATATTAAAGCATGATGAACCAGGAAGCCATGGGTCTTCCCACACCCTAGTGCTTCTACCATTTCCGATACGCCTTCGACAACCTCCTTGGAGGATATATCTTGCCTCCCAGATGCCCTTCCATGTAAGGCTAGCACTATATGCTTCTCTTGAATGTAGAAAGTCAGTTCTACGAAAGTATTTCGCCTTTAAAACTCTAGCAGCTAGCGAGTTTGGCTCTGTCATCAATCTCCAACCCTGCTTGGCCAGCATGGCCATATTAAACTCGTGAAGCGACCGAAAGCCCAATCCCCCTTCTCTCTTTGGTCTCGTCAATCTCCTCCATTCTACCCAATGGATCTTGTGACTGTCTTTACCCCTTCCCCACGAGTATCTCCCCATGATACTTTCCAAGGCTTTATAGAGAGTAATGGGGAGTTTAAAAATACTCATAATATAAGTGGGTAAAGATTGCAACACAGATTTGATGAGCACAAGACGACCCGCCCGTGAGAGAGATTACTCCTGCCACTCCTTAATCCTTGCCCAAAATTTGCCTTTTAAGCCTGCAAAAGCGTCCACTCTTGATCTCCCAATATGGGTAGGAAGACCTAAGTAGCAGCCATGATGTTCTACCTCCTATACAGCTAGCAACTGACTAATTTGATTTTGTACCCTTCATTGAACATTCCTACTGAACAAAATAGATGATTTATGGAAGTTCACAACTTGGTCTGAAGCCTCTCTATACCTCTTCAGAATCTGCTGCACTACTTCTGCTTCCTTCACTGTTGCTCTCAAAAAGAAAAGGCTATCATCAGCAAAAAGTAAATGGGAAACAGTAGGAGCCTGTCGACATACCCTGATCCCGTGGAGCAACCTTTGATTCTCAGCGTCCTTGACCATGCCCGTGAGACCCTCTGCACATAAAATAAACAGGTATGGGGACAATGGATCCCCTTGGCGCAAACCACGAGTGGGCACGATCCGACCTGCCTCCCTCCCATTTAAGAGGATTTCATACTCCACTGTACTAACACATTGCATAATCAACCCAGTCCACCTCTCATCGAAACCCATCGCCACCATCACAGCTTCTAGATATCTCCACTCCACCCTATCGTATGCCTTACTCATGTCGAGCTTGATGGCTTGCCACCCTCGTTGTTGCTCCCGCCTAGAATTCATATAATGGAGCGCTTCGAAGGCTACAAGTACATTGTCTGTAATCTATCGACCAGGCAAGAAAGCACTTTGCTCAACCGAAATCACTCTCGACAACACTTGTTTCAATCTATTTGCAAGAACCTTAGCAATAATCCGATATATCACATTACACAGGCTGATTGGACGTAGATCACCCATCACTTTTGGCTCCCCCACTTTAGGAATCAAAATAATATGAGTAAAATTTAATTCCTTTGCCAAAGTAACACCATTATTCAAGAACTCAAGACAGGCTTCTATAACTCCTTTCCCCACCACCGGCCAGAAATGTTGGAAAAAGCCCGGTGACATGCCATCTGGCCCTGGTGCCTTCGACGGATGCATCTGGAAAATTGCTTCAGTCACTTCCTCTGCTTTAAACTCCTTCAGCAAGTACCTATTTTCCTCACTGGTGACCCAACGTTCTATGCATCTCGTTACTTGTTCAATATTGATCGGGTGAGAAGACGAGAACAAATCATTAAAATATGATGTAGCTATCTCTTGTAAACCCATGAAATCTGTTTTCCAGACCCCCCTCGCATCCATCAACCTTGCCACCATATTTCGCTCCCTTCTCCTAGAGGCTTTCCCATGGAAAAATTTTGTATTTCGATCCCCATCCTGCAACCACACTTCTCTCGATCGCTGCCGCCACATCACTTCTTCAAAAGGGGTTCCGTGAGGCTCGAATGTGCAACCCACTGGAGGTGAACAGCCCTAACACAGGATCCAATGCCACTGGGTTAAAGCGGGCCGTTCAAAAAAACTTGAAGCCATCGGGCCACTAGGCCCAAGTGACTTATCATGCTCTCTTCCCTCCAATGGAAATGAGATTATGTATACGTATATGTTGAGCAGTTGTAAAAATCATCGTGATCTATCAAACGTCAAAACTTCCTTTTTGGATATCTGATGACATTTATACTTGTTTATACTCTGTAATTACTCTGAGCATTGCTTTCCCCTTTTTTTTTTTTCTTTATGGGCCATTATTCTGTTTTTACAAAATGTCAAAAATTCAAAAAATATAATTTATTATTTTAAATAAGTAGAGTAATAAAAATTAGAGTAATTTTTCAAAATTATTGGAGGGAAGAGAGCATGATTATTGCTACCATAAGAAATGCTAAAGTCATTTGTCTTTTTTTTAGAAATAGTATTTGAAAATATTAATTTATTAATTATTTTATTAATTAATAATTAATAAATACAATTATTTTTTATTAATTAAATTAAATTAAATTATTATTTTTAAAGATAATATTTTGTATTTTTTAATGTCCTTAACATTTTACTTTATAACTATAACACTATAAGGAAAAGCACGGAAATCTGTTTGATTTAGGTTCTCGGAGTTTCAGTTTTTTGATATTATTCATATTTTATAAGTTTAAATTTTTTTCTTAAAAATTTATATTTTAAATTTTTTTTTTAACTCTAAAACAATTTTAAACGATAAAATTTTAAAAGTTTCAAACTTTTACTTTTTATAAATTTTATTTTTACTTATTTTTTCGTATATCTAAAAGTAATTTTTAAACTTTCTCTCCAATAAAAATTTAAACTTATCACTTATAAACAACTAAAAAAAAAAAAACTCCAAGAAAGTTGAGCCAAACAGCCCTGAATCGTTTTAAGCAGCCACTTTTAATGTATACTATTAAATTATTATTAACAAATTGCAATTCAGCGAATTTGCTCGTCCTCACCGATTTGCTTTGGCTCATCCAGTTTGGTTATTGTGAGTCTCCAATTTTTTATAGGACGTTCAGTTATTAATTTATCGAAGGCAGTAAAACTTATAGCTATTTATAAGTGGAAGATAGGATGCTGATTTAATTAATTAATTAATTAAATTTGAATTAATTTTTTTATTTTTATATAAATTAATGATATAAACATATTTTTATTCTATACTTAAAAACACACATAATAGAAAACTCATAAAAAAATAAAAATAAAAAACAAAAAAGGGTGTGGAAAAGTTTGGATCTAGCACACCTTGATAGACAGAAGGTGCAAATTCAGCCCCTCTACTTAATTTGTTGTTGCATGTCAGCACCTCTACTTGAAAACAGTGCAAATCAGCCCCCTTACTGCTTGAACTCAGCAAATCACCCCTTCTATTATCCATGACGTCATCTTTCTGTCCCTCTCTTTGATGCCTATTAATAAAGAATGACCATATGATGATTTCTCTCGCGTGGCTCATTGGTTATTTGGTTGGGTCGTGCTCATTAATGAGGAGGTGGAGATCACCCCTTGTCCGAGGTCCAAGCCCTCATGCTTGGTAACAGATA